CACGGGCGCGTCTCGTGTAACCACAATGTCGTGGGCAGTGTGGATCATCCACCTCACATCCACGCATCGCTTCAAGCCAGGGCGATGCCTTGGAGACCATACATGAAGGCCTTCACATTGACTGAGAGCACGTTGTTCTCGCCCGCAACCGAGTAGCCACCCTCCTGCACGACAACAATCGGGGTGGTGGCAAAGGCAGCGCTGATCTTGGCTCCCATCTGGTGGAAGTCGGCCGTGTCCAGCAGGAACTGGCCCTGTGGTGCATGTGCGACAGCGGCGACCGTGGTGGAGGTGGTGGTGGAGGGGATGATAGAGGAGGTGACGGTGTAATGGTCAGACACGAGAAACAATGCAAGCACTCATGGACCCCACGTACGTACACACACACGCACACACACGCACGCACGCACACATCACACATCACACACACACACACACACACACACACACACACACACACACACATCACACATCACACATCACACATCACACATCACACATCACACTCTGACCTCTGGGTCTGCGCGGGCGGTGTCTGTGCCGAGAGAGATGAGCAGCACATCTGGCTTAAACTCTGCGATGCGCGGCAGGGCCTGCTTCTCGAGCTCGCCATTAAACTCTTCACCGGTCGTGCCAGGCGGAAGCGGCACATTCAGGTTGTAACCCTCGCCTTCACCTACCATGCACACATGCACATGAACCAGCAAGGGAAACGGCAGGAGAAACAGCGTGAGTAACTGAAGATGAGGCACAGACCTTGAGGAAATGAGCGCACAAGCAACAGAAACACGTGCACAAGTGCACACACAAACATGCACACAAACACACACATACACACACGCGCACACACGCACGCATACGCACGCACATACACACGCATGCACACACACACACACATGCACACACACATGCACACACACATGCACACACACGCACACACGCACACGTACACGCACGCAAGGCAATGCATCACATGGCCGACACACCTTCGCCGTGCTCCGTGCTGAAACCAGCCCAGAAGGGGTACTCAAAGCGAGGATCACAATGCAGGGAAACAAACAGCACATCGCTGCGGGCATAGAAGATGTCCTGTGTGCCATTGCCGTGATGGAAGTCGACATCAAGGATCGCTGGGCGCTTGCCCTTGGCCAGAGCTTGCTCGGCAGCCACGGCCACTGTAGGTGACATGGCGCAACAACGTGGCAATGCAGCATGAAATGGATGAGGGGAGGGTTGGAAGCTGCAGGCGGGTATCTTGTGGCATACGGATGCAAACTCCAGTTATCTCATGTCGTGCGGACACAAATCAACGTTTTTGCACATCAACGCACACCAACATCCACGCACACGACAACCAAGGACACAAGTGCAAACAGGCCAAGCAGACACACAGGGGTGCACAAAACAAGCTGCGTGTCCAAAACAAGGCTGAGCATGACCATTAAGCGGTGTGATGTGGCTCACCGTTGTTGAAAAAGCAGAAGCCACCAGCAATGTCGCGGCTGGCATGGTGACCAGGTGGACGGCACAGGGCATAGGCGATACGGTGCTGCGCCTCCTCAAGCACGACCTCAACGGCATGTGCCGCACACTGAGCAGCCCAGTACGCCGCCTTGAAGGTGCCCTTGGTCATTGGCGATGTGGCGTCCGACACGAACATGCCCAGTGCATGGGCGATGTCGGCGTCCTCGTTCTCGAGGATCTCCCTCACGTGCTTGAGCCCTTCCGTGCGCATGCGCCCCACAGCAAATGTGTCCACGATGAGGGGCTCGTCCGTGGTCTGCGTTTGCCGCTGGAAGCGGTCGTATGCGACACGCAGCACGTCGTACAGGTCTTGTGAGTGTGTGCGCAGGATCACCTTCTCGCCCAAGTCCTTGGCCTCCCGCAGCGCGAAGACGTCCGTGTTCTCTTGCAGCATGGTGCGAATGGCTTCACCGCGCAGCCGGATCTCGCTCATGCGTGGCGCATGCGGTGGATCGTGCTCATCCATCGCTGGATGATGAACAGCAATCACGCTCATCGTGCTGGTGTGCTGGGGTGCCAGTGACGTGCTGCGGGCTTGGAGGAGGTTGCTGTATCGTGTTGTGTTGTGATGTGTTGTGACACGAGAAGAGGTGTTGTGCGACGAGCAGGACCACGCAGCAGTTCAAGTCTGGAAAAGTGGCCAATAACTTTCATGCATTATCTGCACTCGAAATACACACACCACACCAAACAAACCAAAGAGGAAGAAAGACACAAGATGGCGACAGGCAGCTCACCATGGGAAGGTGTGTGATGGTGTGTGTGTCTGTGATGGTGTGTGTGTGTCTGTGAGTCTGTGTGTGTCTGTGTCTGTGTGTGTGTGTGTGTGTGTGTGTAACTCTGGTGGTAGTGGCTGACACTTTGTCTGCTCATGCACAAATGTGTAGCAAAGCACCTCAGGGTGCGACAGCTGGAATTGGAGTTGGAAGCCAACTTTGAGAAGCTGCGCAACTTCAACCAGCTCAAGTAAGAGTCACAATAATATTGTGATCTGCCATTGGCGTGGGTTTGTTTGCGAGCTTGGTTGTGTGTGTGTGTGCGTGCCTGCGTGTGTATATGCGAGCTTGGTTGTGTGTGTGTGCGTGCTTGTGTGCTTGTGCCATGGCAGCCCGGCTCTTGTTGTCGTGCTGATCTCTGACTGTGATTGCACCTGCACATGTGCGTGTGTGCAAAGACGCAGCGATGATCCCCTTCGAGACATTCACAGTGTGTACGCCGAGATTCAAAACTGCCTGGACGAGGTGCGCATGCGTGCGTGTGTGTGTGTGTGCGTGTCTGCCTCTGTCTGTCTGTCTATCCGTCCGTCTATCTGTCTGTCTGTCTGCTTGCCTGCCTGTTATCCTTTGCGTCTGCGAATGGATTGACGCCGTGTTCTGTGTATCGTTTGGATTGACGCTGCTTTCCTTCGTATGCTGCGAGTGCAGTTTTCTGTATTGACGAGCGAGATGGTTGGCCTGGCGGGCGAGGCGAGAAGTCGAGTCACCGTCGTCAACCAGCTTGCACAGAAGGAGACGGCATATCACCGACAATTTGCACGAATCAAGGTTCGTTGGTTTTCATGTGTGCGTGTGCGTGTGTGTGTGTGATGTGTGTTTGTGCGTGTGTGTGTATGTGTGTGTGTGTGTGTGTGTGTGTGTGTGTGTGTGTGTGTGTGTGTTCGTTGTGTTCGATTCTCAAGTCATGAACCTGCACCAACGCCCTTGTCCCCCCACCACACACACACACCTGACAGCAAAGCATCAAGGCGCAAATGGAGAAGGAAGACCTGCTGGACAATGTGAAGAAGACGATCAAGTGAGCCCATCATGCATACCGTGTACAGGGCGCTATGGGCAGTACTTTTCGTATCACCCCACAAACATAAATACACGCACACACGCACACACACGCGCGCGCGCGCGCGTGCAGAAGTGCAATGCTCACGGCCACTTCTTTGTTTTGCAGTGACCATCATTCTGGATCGAGAAATGAGGATCTGTACCTCAAGGAAAGTGATCACATTCGGACATCCGACCGTCTCACCGACGACATCTTGGGGTAAAGACACGTACTAACGGTCTTCATGTGTGTGTGTGACTCGGAGTTGGCTCTGGGAGTGACTGCTCTGTGCATGCGAGTGCAAACTCGTGCTCCTCCTCTGCTCACACACGCACGCACATGCACACGCACGCACACGCACGCACACACGCGCATAACCACGTCCCTCTATGTCGCAGCATGGCTGCTGGTGCGCGGAATGCGTTGCAAGACCAGGCGTCACGAATCGACAATGTGTTTTCCAAGCTCTCCACGACAATGAACAAGTTCCCCGTCATCAACCAGCTCAGCAAGAACATTGACCTGAGGAAGAAGCGGTCAGCCATCATTCTCGGCTCCGTCATCGCCACTTGCGTCGTCTTCTCCCTTTGGTACATCATGTACTGAGGCCAGCCTCCGTAAGTGCGCGCGTGCCAATGTGTGTGTGTGTGTGTATGTGTGTGTTTGTGTGTGTGTGTGTGTGTGTGTGTGTGTGTGTTTGTGTGTGCATGGGTGTCTATATGTCTCAATGCATGTCTTTGCGTTGCCCCCGACTTGCAGTGCACTCTGCCACACCCCTCTTGTGCTGCTTTGCTGTCGGGATTTCATCGATGGTTTTCGCTGTAGCTTTTACTGGTCAAACAAACTCACTGTCACTCATCACTCATGTGAACCCACCGCCCTCGCGCGCCTCGCATCTGCCCATCCCCACAACGCCAGCGTGTGGTGTGGTCGCGTGCGGCTGTACCTTGCGCGAAAGGGATCACTCGCTGTTGGCCACGCCACCTTCGGTCAGATTGAAGCTTGCGTCCTTCTCCGAGAACCGGGACGAGCACACAAGCTGGTTGTGGGTGTAGTTTGGTGTTGGATGGCGTGCGTTACGCGTGAGGGGCGGAAGGCATGGATGTGAGAGTTGAGTTTGTGATGCGAGCGTTGAGTTTGTGATAACGTGGATTCAATTCATATTTGCCTGTGTGCATGCGAATGATGTTAACTGCTGTGGCCAGGATGTACCTGGCAGTGCTGAATACGTGTACATGTACATCAATCCCTCTCTCTCCTCCCCCCCCCGCCCAATTACACCTTATCCTAGCGTAACATTGTCTGTCATACCTTGGCAAAGCGTTGCTCGCCGCTGCCTTTGCGCAGGGAGAGGCGTGTTTGCACTGCATGTGCCAGGATGTGGCCTCCAACAGGCTGTGTGCATGTATGTGTGTGGGGAGGGGAGTCATGTGTGAGTCGGGCGGGAGTTTGGATGTGTATGTATGTATGTATGTATGTATGTATGTATGTATGTATGTATGTATGTATGTATGTATGTATGTATGTATGTATGTATGTATGTATGTATGTAAGTCGAGTGGGAGTGTGTGTGGTTAAAGTGCTTTGAGCCGCGTCCATCTCAACAAAAGTGAAAGCGCATCCGTAACCTTCTTTGGGTCGGAGACGAACGACATTGTCGCGCCTGGATCTGAGCACATCTGAGACAACGACGAGCACAGCATCCCGCATGCATGTGAACGGTCAACGATGGATGGCACGAGATGACCAAATGCTTGCAGCAACAATACAGCAAGAATCACGAGGTGTCTTTCCACAGCACATGCATGAGCTGACCTGGTTTGTGAGGACGACAGCAAGGTTCCATTCCTCGGCCAGCCGCTTGATGGCAGCGAGGACCTGGTTCAGCATCTGTTGTCGCTCTGCGAGCTCGCCGCGGCCGCAGTAGTCGGTGCGGAACGTGGCCATAATGGAGTCGATGATAAGGAGGCGGACGATGCCAGCCTCTTGCGCAAGAATGGCACCAACATCGGCCATCAAGGTGGCCTGTTGTGAGCCAAGACAGAACAGCGGGAGAAGGACGTTTCGCCAGCCAAAGAGAGGGCGCAGACATGAGTGAGTGCATATGAGAAGGACTGAAAGTCTATGCGTGCTTGCAGTGAGAGAAATGTGTCAACGAAACACGTGCTATGGATCTTTGATTGAGGTTGAGCGTGGGATGTATGTGATCATGCGTTCGAAGCATAACACCACAGACCAGTTGCTCGCTGTTGTATGCGCGACAGAAGTAGACGTTGTTGAGAGCTGCCTGGTAGTCAACGTTGAAGCGATCGCAGATCCCCTCCAGGCGCTCCGGCCTGAAGGCGCCCTCTGTGTCAATGTAAATCACCTTCCCGCCAGAGTAATTCGTCTCATCTGTTGGCACTTGCGCAGAGATGCACTGCCAGACAGTAGCGAGTGGCGAGTGACAGGACAACACGCAGGTGGATGTGATGTGAGCACAGTGTGAGCGCGTGCGTTTGATGTTGAGGTGTGGAGCGCTGATGGCATCAAGGAAGGAAACGCTTATCCAACGCACTCGATAGCCCAACATACTTGAACCCCTTCCACTCCACTCCTCCACTCCTCCACTCTTCCGCTCCTCCACTCCTCTACGCCTCCACACCAAACGACCGTGTCCCATTCAAACGCCCACGTCTCACTCACCAAGGTCATGCAGATTTGCGACTTGCCAGTCCTGTACTCGCCATGGATCTACAAGCAAGTGGGTGCAGCGCGCAGGCATACCAAGGGTTAGGCATTGAAACCAGACGCCCGAGTACAGAAGCAGGGTCACGGAACAGAGGAATGCAGACATATGTATGTATGTGATGTTGCTCTTGCTTGCGCCCCAAGCCAGCGTGTCGTGTTGGTACCTCACCTCTGTGATCTGCTGGCTCTCGATACCGCCGCCAAGGATGGCGTCAAGTTCCTTAGCGCCGGTGGAGATGAAGAACACCTGCTGACGTGCCTCGAGAAAGTTAGCGGCAGTCACAAACGGGGAGTCGCCAACTGCGAGCTTCTTTGCCGCGTCCAGAACCTAGAAAAAGTGGGTGTGCGAGTGTGCGCGTGAGTGTGTGTGTGTGTGAGGACCAAGAGTGTGTATGTGTGTGTATGTGTATGTGTGTGTATGTGAGAGCCAAGAGTGAGCGAGGGAGTGGATGATTGAAGGAGTCGGGGTATTGGAGCATGGCTGAATGCCGTACGAGTGAAAGCAGCCGGATTGACGTCGCACAATCAACTCAAACACGACAATCAGCTCAAACAAGACAAGCACACACACACACACATACACACCTTTTCGACTTTGGCTTCGGAGAAGCCTTTGAGCTCCTTGAGCTTCTTCGGGTGAATGAGAATGACCGACTTGACCGTGAAGAAGCCCGCGTTCTTGAGTTTGGTGATGTCTGACATGCTACATCAAAAGAGGGGACAAATGAGGGCATGCAAAGGACGTGAGAAGAGATGTTGTGTTTGAATGGCAGCACATTGGCAAGCAGGCTCTCAAACAAACAAGCCGGCCAATCAGCAAGACGTCCGCCTTGCGTCGCACACACACACACATACACACACATACCCAATGCCGACGGTTTGGAGCTTCTCGATCATATCCAGCTCCTCTCCCTCGCCCTCCTCCATGGGGATTTGACCCTCAACTTCGGTTGCCATCGCGCCGGTCGTGTGTGTATGTGTGCGGAAGAGAAGCTGTTGGTGTTATGCAGCGTGATATCAGCGGGGATTGTGGAGGGCAATGCGTCGTTCTGTTGTTGTTTCGCTGGCGGTGCTCTTGTGTGCGGTGTAGTTGACTCGATGTGCAGTTGGCTTGAACCGTGGTTGATGGAAATGACCATTGCTCAGAAGCAGCGCCAAGTTGCAAACGCATCGGACGCGCATGGTCTCATGGTAGGGTAATCGCTGGAGAACAGCGTTGCGAGAGCAACAAGAACAACTGCCAGTGTGCAGGGAATTGACAACGGAACTATGTGTGCACAGGTGCATGGATGTTTTGTGCAGTAGAGAGAGGGTGTGTGTGTGTGTGTGTGAAAGGTTCGTTGTTGGTGGTTTATTTTGGCGGGAAGACCCCCTTGCCATCATCAATTCATTCTTCTTTACAGTCGCGAACGCGTGCACAAACGTCAACAAACGTGTGCAATTGGTTTTCCCGCCAAAACGAACAACAAAATGGGAATGAACGGCTGAATGTAAATGGAGGACACACTTATGGCATGTTGTTCGCGCCGACTGTGTGTGCTTCGACATGACATGCAGCACAAGCAGCAAACTACAGCGCAAGTCTTCTTTGGCGGCACTGCGGTCGGCCAATGTTGCACTTGTGGCTGGTCGCATTTGCAAGCTGTCGTCATCCTGCTCGCAGAACCGGTGCACAGCCCAGAGTACAACACCACGAGACAAGAGGCAATTAAGCAAACAGCACGACACATCGACCTGAGGAGCCGCCTGCTTGCACAACCAGAGCACAACGACAAGCAACGACAAGCAACGACAAGCAACTACGAGCAGCACAGCCATGGAGAAGCGCGTCTCCGCTGTGCTGGATTGCGACGAGAGCGGCGAAAAGGCTCGGCTCGCTGTCAAGGCAACAGAGTATGCGAAACAGCAAGCGCTTGGCGAAGAAGAGCTGTACTCTGCTGCTCGACGCCTCTGGAACCACACAATCACCCTGCCAATCAGCAAAGACACATGTCAAGGTATGGTTCCACCAAACCATACGCGCGTGTGTGTGTACGGTTGGCACGCACACACTCACACACTCACTCACCCCCCATCAGCTAACACATGCGCTCTCAAAACACCACATTAACATCCAAGCACACACACACACACACATACACGCACACACACACACACACACACACACACACACACACACACACACACACACACACACACACACACACGCACACACACACACAACAGTTCGAACAGAATGTATGCACCTGCTGATGATCCATGGCCCAAGCCACAATGACGGTGTTCGACAAAGTCAAATGGTCAGGTGTTACTTTGACCATTACAGTGTGACATGCTCACTCGGCTTTGGACTGTCATTACCCGCGTGATTGATACCACATGCAGTCCTCAACTCACTGGTGGACTTGCCATCACATTTTGTGTGCGCGCGCGCTCTCTCTGCCTCTCACTCTCACTCACTCACTCACACACACACACACAACACAACACACGCACACACACACACACACACAACACAACACACACACACACATTGACACATCATACACACCACACACACACATACCATACATTGCACAGTCGATTTGCATGGGCGTGGGTACGTCGTGGTCCAAGCTTGGCGACTCTGGCGCAGCACTGCAGGCCTTTGATGCTGCATGGGCAGTGTCACAACAAGGCACGCTGCACGATGACAACAAGACACAATGGCTCCGGCTGTTGGAGCTGCGAACGCGGGCAGCGCTTGCACAGAAGGAATACCAGAAGGCGCGTGTGACCCTGCAAGAAGCTGCCGCTCTGCTGCAAGCTGGTAGCCACCAAGAGCGCGTCATCGCCATCATGCATCGCTCTGCACTCACCTGCTTGGAGCACAAGGAGCACACACTGGCACACGAAACCCTCTCCCTCATCCTGAACCACGTGAGCCACGCGAATCAGAAGTGTCAGGTGATTCGCGCCATGTCTTGGTGCACGCTTCAGCTTGGTCAACCTGACAAGGCTCTGGCCCTGATCAGCGCCATTGAAGTCGATGCGATCTCCCCAACCGAGTATGCACTGAGCCTAGGCCTGAAATCACGCATTTACACGACAGCATCAGATTCCGCCGCCCCCATCCTCAACGGTGTGTGTGTGTGTGTGTGTGTGCGTGTGTGTGTGTGTGTGTGTGTGTGTGTGTGTGTGTGTGTGTGTGTGTGTGTGTGTGTGTGTGTGTGTGTGTGTGTGTGTGTTGGTGTGTGTTAGCGTGTGTAATGTCTGCTGTGAGTATGCACAACGGTGTTGGTGTGCGCGCGCAACTGTGTTGGTGTGCGTGCGCATCGGTGCTGGTGTGCGTGCGCGACTGTGTTGGTGTACGTGCTTGTGCGTGTGTGATGTCTGCTGCGAATGTGCGCGTAGCTGTGTATACATTGTGCTTTGTGAAGAGGTTGCATCATCATCACCCCAGCCGACCTGTTTCCACAGACAACCAACTGCTTCACGCCACCCCCGTTCCGTGACAAACATCATGCGTTCACATCCCACTTGCGTTTGTGGTGTCTATTTGACAGGCTTGGGGTCATTGTTGCGACGCCCACCAGACGCGACGGTGCTCTTGGACGTTGTTAAGGACATGTTGCAGGCCCTTCGCGATCACCCGTATGTGCACGACACATGTCGCTGCTGCTGTCTTCACTGCTGCTGTAGATGCTGCTGACGACGGCTTGCTTCACTGTCCCTGCGGATGTTGATTGTAGGAAAGTTGAAAGCCAGCACCTGCTGGAAGCTGCCCACATGCTACAGCAGAACCTGCATTCAAGCGACACCAAGACAGCGGCACTCACCCTTCTGCTCAGCGCGATGCTCGACCAAAAGCGAACGACAGACATCCAATCCCTCAAAGGTACGTTTCTTCGTGGTCTGCACAACCACTGCCACGACTGACACCTGGTACTGTGTGACAGGAAAGCACGCAGCTATGTACTTGGAGCGTGCCTTGAACCTGCATGCTTGTGTTGTTGCAACAGAGATGGTTGATGCGCAGCTGTGGAAGCAGTTGGTGCACCAGGAGCGTGTGCGCCTTGCCCTCTGGAACGCAGCCGCCAACGCCATTCAGGTGACAACACTATCAGTGTGTCCCTCGTGCCAGACAACGTGCATGTCACTGCTGGCTTGTTGGAGCTCAGCTCACATGTGTGTTGGTGTGGTTGTGCGTGTATGCGTGTGTGTTTGCACATGCATGCGTGTGTGTGTGTGTGTGTGTGTGTGTGTGTGTGTGTGTGTGTGTGTGTGTGTGTGTGTGACTCACCAACAGGAAGAGGACGTTGACCGAGCGCTGCAAGCTCTGAACGTCGGCAACTCAGCAAATATCACGACAAGCATGTCATCAGAGGACGGGACGCAGTGGCAGGTTTGATGTTGCATCCTGTTGTCCACATCCCGCTCGTTGGTGTGGTTATGGGAGGAGGGACATTGGGTATCACAGCCAACGCTTCCACCTGCGTGAACGTGTGCTGACTACGATATCCGCAGCCGGCCATGTACTATTTCATCGCCACACACAGACCCACGTCATCGCCACCCACTCAGCCGAGTCCTTGCCATATGCAACCGACCACCTTTCTTGCAGGCGATGCGAATCTGGTGTCTGCTGCGACTCAATCGGCTTGATGAGGCCAAACTTGCACTGCAGCAAGCACGCTCCAGCAGGAGCAGCGATCGCAGCCAGTCCTCATTGCGCCTGTCCTACCTCTCGTTTCGCCTGTACATCCTCTCCAAGGACGAAGAGAACGGTGAGTTGTGTGAGTGGAAGAGGTTGATGTGTGTTGCTATCTGTACGCAACTTGGGGTGCAATTGCCCTTTAGTTGCCACTGTGTACCACCGTGTGCAACTTCTTTCTTCGTGCACAGCGAAGTCTGCATGTGTGCGTGGTTGCATGCTGCTTTGTGCGTTGTAAGTGCACGTATGTGTGCGTTTGTCGATGGCTTCATGTCCCCGAATTCACTGTGAGCAACCTCATCGTCAACATGCACCCGTGCTTAGCACGAAAGGCACTGCTTGAACTGATCAGTCACCAGGAAGGAGAAGGCGCGAACCAAGGGCCAGAGAGCAAGCTGGGGCTGCTGAGCTTGGCGTTTCAAGACTGCTTCGAAGCGTCTTCGCGCCAGTGCGCTCGGACTGTCCTCAAGGTACGACTTGCGGCAGCCGTTGTACAAGCACAAACACATGCAGTCCACGCAGTGCACACTCTGTTTGATGTTGGCCATGCCAGTCAACATACTCCCACGGCGTTGTTGTGAACCCAAGTGCACACACACACTCTCTCTCTTTTGCACACACTTGTACACACACTGCATACGAGCTCAAACATGCACACACTTTGAAGAACACGCTTATTTGCACCTACACGCCGATTTCAAGCATGACTGGCTCCATCGCTTAAACCTGTCAAATGCTCACAATCATGCTAACAACATACAGGCGCTTGTGGAGGAGAAAGCGCCACACCAGGTGTTGCTGTTGAGGTGCCATCTTCGACTCATCATTCGAGAACTGAAGAGCCTGCCAACAGTCGTGTAAGCTTTGTGTGTGCTGTGTGTGTGTGTGTGTGTTAGCGTTTGCATGGACTGCTTATGACAAGGGTGTGCCAGAGTGTGCCTAGGTGCGTGACTTGCTTCTCATGCTCTCACACAAGACATTTGCCTGCTTACATTTCTTGGTGTTAGCTCAACGTCACTGCTGGACGACGTGACATCAACCGGCAAACAGGGTTTGTCGTGTTGCTTGAGCGTGCGTGCGTATGTGTGAGCGCGGAAGTGTGTGTGTGCATGTGAGGGTGAGGGTGTGAGGGTGTGGTACGCCCTTTTGTTTGTGGTACGCCCTTCTGTTTGTGTTTGTGGTACGCCCTTCTGCTGCAGGTTTGCGGCACTGCTGTCTGCATTGCTTGCATGTGATTCACCCCTTCCTTGGTCTGCCAAAACCAGCACTGGCTGCGTGTCGTCAACAGGGATCATGCGCTCAACAGCAACAACAGCAACAGGAAAAGCACAGCGCGGAGGACAAGGCATTGGACATTGACTGGTTTGCCCGGATGAGTGAGTTGCTTTGGAACAATTGCACGTGCGTGCAAACTGCGTTGAAATGATCCCCACATGCACAACAACACCGCCTGTTGCTTGCAAATGCGTTTGTGCGTGTGTGTGTGTGGTGTATGTGTGTGTGGCGTATGTGTGTGTGGTGTACACTCACACACACACGTACACACACGTACACACACACTCACACACACTCACACACACTCACACACTCACACACCACACACATACACACGTGCACATGACGCCAGCCTGGAACATTGCTGTACATGTGAGTCGTGTGGTGGAGCCCAGGACTGCGGCACCGCTGTTTGAGCTGAGCTTTCAGGTTCGTGAAGATGAGGTTGTATCTCTCACAGGTGCAGCAGTTTGCCCGCAACACATACGCACACGCACTTTGCATGCATGCACGTCACATAGCACCACAGCACACACACACACACACGCACGCACACACACGCGCGCACACAGAGCACACGTACAAAACAAACCCAAACACACATCCACATCTCGCCCACTTGTTTCCCTCATTCATCAAGCCTCCCACATCAACCGCCTCGGCTTGCGTGCAGTTTGATGACATGATGTCAAAGCCCGAAGCGCGGCGGCGAAAAGCGCGCTCATCACTACTGGCGGCAGCGTGCTATGTCAGCCGCACGAAGGAGCGACACACGCCTTCGCACGCCGACGCAATTCACGCCCAGCGCGCCATCGAGGTGTACCGCTCGGCGATTCTCGACGACGGCTCAGCCACAGCGTCGTCTGCATCTGCACCGCTGCTGTCATCGTCATCGGGTGATCCGGCCGCCACATCCGCACGACGCGAACGCGACAAGATCCTGGCCATCATTCTCCAGTTTGACATTGCCCTCACCATCAAGGACAACGAGCTCCTCAAGGTTGTTGGTGATGCGACCATATGTGTACGTGTGTGTACGTGTGTGTTTGTGCTGGGGTGGAGAGTTGGTGATTGTGGTTGATGTGTATTGCGTAGTGTGCAACGTGTGATGTGCAGTGTGCAATTTGGTGTGCATCGTGTGTGTTGAGCGCGTTATGATCTCAGGTTCACTGCGGGCTCTGTGTGATTGCAGGTGTGGCAGGAGGCGCGTGGTCTCAGCAACCCACTCACGTGCTACGAAATCTTAGCTGGTGAGTTTGAGAGCGTGTGCTTGCCTTTTGTGTTGTGGGAGAAGGGGAAGACAATGGCGTGCGTGTGGGGTTGTACCACAAACTGCAGCCAAGCAAGCAGTGGTTTTACGGTCAAGGTCCACCGCTTGTCGTGTGACACAGGTCTGGCGCTGAGCCACGGCGATAAGCAGCTTGCCCGCAGCATCCTCCACGAAGGCATTGTCACCGACACGGACAGCTTCACAGACAAAACGTAAGATCGCAGTGTGAAGCGTGCCCCTGGTGGCGTGTTTGTGTTTGTGTTTGTATTTGTGTTTGTATTTGTGTTTGTGTTTGTGTTTGTGTGTGCGTGTGCGTGTGCGTGTGTGTTTGTGCTTGTGTGTGTTTGTTTGTGTGTTTGTGGTTGTGTTTGTGTGCGACTTTATGTGTGCATGTGTATCGAGCTGCGTCTTTGCCATCCTGACATGTATATGTGCAGCTGATAGAGTCTCATGCTTCAGCCCATGGCTCATTTTGTTTCCACATTGTCCAACCAAACCCAACAGGCCGCTGTTCCGCAGCATTGCGGACATCCTTGCCCAGTTGGGGGACGACAGTGCCACACTCGAAATTGCACGCACCTTGGCCACAAACATGGAGAAGAAAAGCGCCACAATACTACCAACGCCGGTACCCACAGCGAACCCATACCTGTCTGTGTGCGCATGTGTGTATGTGTGTACATGTGCGTATGTGTATACATGTGCCTGTGTGTATACATGTGCCTGTGTGCCTGTGTGTATATTGTGTGTGCGTGTGTGCCTGTGCGCGCTATTTTTTTGAGTCATGCGCGCTGATTCCAATTGCCAACTTGTGTGGCTGTTGACCTTGATGCACAGGCTGCTGAGGATATTTTGTGTGTCATGATCAAGGTTGGTGGTTGCAGTTCCACTTTGGAAGTGACGGGCTATGCGGCGAGCTCATTATATACACGCAGTGCTGCCTGTAGTGCTTTTTCGTGGTGATTGTGCATTGCTGATGTGCAAAAAGATGGGTCTCTTATTCTCTCCCTCTGGTTGCGCTGCGCCTGCTGCAGGTTTGGAATCGAGGCATTGAGTGCTTCTCACGGCAGGACCGCAACATGGCGCGTTCGCTGTGCTCCGTGTCGCTGCGACTGCTGAAATGTCTTCCAGTGCAACAGCGCGGCCCCTACTCCACACACATGTCCACCAACTTTGCCAAGATTGTTGCCACGCGCACATGACTTGCGAACAAAGGCACTTGCATTGTCTCCTGGGTGCTTTGTCTTTGGTGTTGTGCGATGGATATGCAGGATATGGGGGGGGGGGGGGTTGAGGTGTATTGTCAATGGATCGCAACACAATGAAAAGAGCAAGGAAGCAAGGAAGCGAGGCAGCGAGGCAGCAAGGCAGCAAGGCGCATTGGGTGTGTACAGACAATGCGAGGGGCGAAGGAGATAGAAATATACACAGAGAGGAGAAATGACGCTGGTGGAATGTGTCAACTGCTCCTGCCAACGGGCATCAACTACACTCACAGGCACACCTCTTTGATGAGGGTGGCATGAATTGGACTATGTGGCGAGGAAACCAGGAGAGGCGGTGTCAACATGAGCAGTAAACAGGTCGCCTTTGGTGTTTCCAAACGCCAGCAGCCTGTCAGGTGGTTAATTGCACAATGAAAAAGCAAACGAGGGTGTGAGTGTGGGCATGGACAGGTAAGTAGATGTATGAGCAAGTGGATGAGCGAGTGCATGCCGTGAGTGAGTGGCTGAGTCAATGGATGAGCAGACCAAGCGCTCGCTCATCAGTGCGTTGCCATTCAGCAACATAACACAGAGTCGTGTATGCGTAACCCCACCCATCGCGTGTTGTGTCACAGCACGTGGGCGCCCGCTCCAAGTACATGGTGTCAAGAGCACTCTGTGCGTCAACGCCCCATAACCTCACGGTTGAATCCTTGGAGCAGGACACAAACAGCCTGGATCGAAACCAAGATGGTCAGCGGGAAAACATTGTGGTGCATGGCCGTCGCCACGTGTTAGAAGCAAGTCGATGGTTAATTCAGGTGGAATGAAGTACAATGAAGGACGTGTAGCACCGCAGATTACGGACAGACAGACAGGCGGACACACACACACACACACACACACACACACACACACACACACACACACACACACACACACACACACACACACACACACACACCGCTCGTTGATGAAGGAGCAATCTGAGATGCCTGATTCGTGGCCTCGGAAGTCTTGGACTTTGCCGGATGTTCGAATATCCCACAGCTTCAATAGACCACCACGTGGGTATAGCGTGAGGTAAGACGATGTTCTCAAGGAGTTGCAACGGATTCCAAGATTCGACGCTCACCACCACCACCACCACCACCATCATCATCATTACACACACGCACACACGCACGCACACGCACACACACACACATGCGCTCGCACGTACGCTCGCGTGCAGCGTGATTGTGGTGGCTTCTGTCGTGCTTACCGTGAGCAGCGCGCCCTGCATCTGGTTACCGCCACCGGAGGAACCCGTGACAATCAAGTGGGCATTGTCACGTCCACCACCAGCAACAGCACAGCTCGTCTGCAGCGCCGGAACAACAGCATGATATCGGATGAGACAACACGGCACAATACCTCGGCTCACCAACACAACAAACAACAACCAGCAAGCAACAGCAGCAGCAGCAGCAGCGAGAGAGAGAGAGAGAGAGAGAGAGAGAGAGAGAGAGAGAGAGAGAGAGAGAGAGAGAGAGAGACATGCGGTGCGCGTTGGTAAGAATAAACGATACCAGTATGTACTGCTGCTTTGGGAACTGAACAGCGACGCTTCCTGTTCGCACATCCCACACGCGCAGGCTCTTGTCTTCACTCGACTGACAGAACAAATTCGGGCCCATTGGCGCAATCGCCGTCACCTACGCGTACATGTGTGTGCGTGTGTGTGTGCGCGCGCCAAGTGAATGTCAGCGAACGTCGCAAAAGTGTGTGTGAATGTGAGTCCACACTGACGGTGGCGTGGGACTGCAGCAAACAGTGAGAAGTGACGCTGGTTGGTGGAGGCGGCGCATGAACGTACAACGTTGCGATGCACTTTGAGAGATGCTGTGTTGACGAGAGTGGCCAGGTCCCAGAACTTGACCTCGCCATCGCGCGATCCTGTGCAGAGGTACCCGCCAAACGCGGCCATACCCGTCACACCGAGCTGGTGCGAGCCCATGGTGTGTGCATCCGACAGGCTCGCGTGGCCGGCAATCAGGCGAACGACGTCCCCTGAACGCGTTCCAACCGCGAGCGCATCTGCGCTCAACCAGGCCGACTGCAAATACATACGCAGGTAGCAGTTGGACGTGCGGGGTGTCGATTAGTGTCGGGCGGGTGGGCCCGTGATGGCAAGAGATGGAAGAGTGAGTGTGGGACCCAGTGTCAAGGGGTGGTGGTGGTGGCTGTGTTGCTCAGGCAACTAAGGCCAGGAAGACACGCATGTGGATAATGTCGATACGCATGACATGAGGGATTGAGCGAGAAGCAACGCATGGTGGGGGAACGGCAGCGCATCAACAAAACTGACAGACAGCAGCATGCAAGTACTGCTCACGTTTAAGAGGGATGTGTCAAAGCTCTTGGTGAAGGTTGAGCTGGCATCCTGCGCGAGGGGCGACTGTACCTTGATGCTCTGCAGGCGAGCCAGCACGTTGTAGACGCAAAACAAGCGAACGATGAAGGTGAATACCACGAGCCAACGGTGCACAAGCAATGTTGTTGTTGTTGTTGTTGTTGTTGTTGCTGCTGTTGCTGTTGTTGTTGTTTTGGCAAGGCGGCATCTTGGGATAGCAGCAGGTCACTGACTCAGGCAGTGTTCGTCGTCACAAGCAGTGCTCCTCTTCATAAGCAGTGCTCCTCGTCACGAGCAGTGCTCCTCATCTCAGCTTGTCACCACTGCCACTTCATTCCGCACCTGATCGAGGGACGTGGACGCTAATCTGACTTGTGGGGAAAGGTCCTTGCACAGGGCGACGGCGGTGATGAGATCCCCATGGCCACCGCCCATCACTTGCTGCCACCTGAGCAGAAAGCGTGCAGCCATGGTGGCCAATTCACCGGTCAGTGCAAAGCGTGCTCTTGAGCACCACACACATTCACACACACACTCTTGCCGCGTCTTTTGCACTGCCACTGCTTCCTTCACACACACACACACACACA